ATGGACGGCCAGGGAGTGGCCGTCCTGCCACTGACTAGTGAGGTGACGGCGGAGGTCGACGAGCCATGAGTCGAACTCAACCGGCTGACCCTCCGCATCAAAGCGCAGCACCAAGTCCGCCATTAAGGCCGCTGCAGCCGCGAACAGGCGGTGAAGGGCGGGACGGAGCGACGAGGAGGTGTGGGGAGGAGTGTTGTATGGTGCAGTGCGGTGAAGTGTGGTGGGGCGCCGTGCAGTGCGGTGCCACGTGGTGCATAGCAGTGCAGTGCGGTGGGGCGCGGTGCAGTGAGATGGGGCACGGTGCAGTGCGGTGCTGAGGGGTGCAGCATGGTGGGGCGTTGTGCAGGACGGTGGAGAGGGCCGGTTAAGCAGGCGGGGAGGGGGAAACATGGTGGCTGAGCAGCTGGGCGAAGTGGCCGCAGAGCAGCGGGGCGACGGGTCGAGGGGCGGCTGGGCGACGGGGCCGCTAAGCAGCGGGGCGACGAGGCCGCGGGGCGGCTAGGCGATGGGGCCGCGAAGCAGCGGAGCGATGGGGCCACGATGCGGCTGGACGACGAGGCCGCGGGGCGGCTGGGCGACGGGGCCACGGGGCGGCTAGGCGACGGGGAGGCTAGGCGTCGGGGCGGCTAGGCGGCTACACTAGGGGCGACGCGGCCGCGGGGCCAGCAGGACGGCTAGGCGCAGGTGACGGGGCCGCGGAGCCAGCGAGGCGGCTAGGCGCTAGGTGGCGGGGCAACGGGGCCACGGACGGCTAGGCGCTAGGTGACGGGGCCGCGGGGCCAGCGGGGTGGCTGGGCGCTAAGTGGCGGGGCAACGTGGCCACGGGCGGCTAGGCGCTAGGTGATGGGGCCGCGCGGCCAGCGGGGTGGCTAAGCGCTAGGGAACGGGGCCGCGGGGCCGACGGGCCGACTAGGCAACGGGGCAGCGGGGCCAGTGGGGCGGCTAGGCGCTACGCGACGGGGCAGGCTAGGACCTAAGGTGGAAGCGCGGGTGGGCAGGGGGGGCCTAATCTTCTCATGATACCATCTCAGAGTTAGAATTGTATAGTAGAATGAGAGTATAGAAGGGTATATAGCTAGTGGGTTGTACTCTCTATGGCATGACCCTATATAGTCTACTAAACATACACACATATGTTTGACATACCTAACTAGCTCCTTATCCTCCTTTTTAAAACCCCACGGCAAAATAGCAGAGGGGGGGTTCGTCTTGATGGTTGAGTGTGTGCAAAAAAACTAAGTCCAGAGTTGGCGAGAAAACGAAACGTCATAGTGCCCGGAACTTTGTAACTCTCCGAAAACAAAAACAAAAAACAGATTGCCCGAATGCTATTGGTTGCGCGAAAGTACGATCCAATGTGGGCGAAAGACGCGAAATACATTTTGACAGCCAGGCGCTTCGTGCAGTCCCCCTGCGACCTTTGTTGCACGCGACGCGGGCCTCGCTGATTTCCGCAGGGGGGGTTCAAGTGGGACCCCCCTCTGCTATTCCTGTTTTTTGCGGGCTCGCTGGGCGAAAATCAAGCGGGGCCCCACCTGATGTCCAAGTGGGGCCCAATTCGACGTGGCAAAATCACGTGCCACATCGTGCAGCCCACGGCGCGTTACGCTGTACGAAATTCGCAAGGCATAAATATGCCAACTGGATGTCGTGGCACTGTGATAACCCTGTCGATCCTCTCTCTCTCCCTAGGGAGGGTACTGGGGAGGCTTTTGTCTGAATGCTAGTTAAACTAGGAAGTAGGGAAGCCCGCCATGAAATGGCGGGTGGGGTTTAGGTAGGAGGGAAATTTTTTAGAGAGAAGGATGTCGACTAGAAGAGAATGAGGTACAAGAAGGGGGTTATTCCCTCTACAGTAGGATGAAGTTAGTAGCATAACTACTAAGCCTACAATTATATAAAATATAATTTTAACACACCCCCTAGGCTTGGTAGTCACAAGCCCACCCAACACCCACACACCCCCTAATCCCGTACACCCTCATGCTCATGAGCAGCCGAGTATCGACCCCTCGTGCTAGGCGATGACACCCCCGGACGAGAGGCAGCTGGCGGCATCTGGGCGGCCTCAATGACGATAGCGGCGGAGCTCGTGCTCAAGGCGTCTGCGTCAATGAAGGCAGGCAGCGACTGCAGCGGCTGAGGGCTCTCGGCGGTGTGGCACGACCTGACGACGACCGAGCCGAAGACAGCAGCTGCGGCACATGAGGAAGAGGAGACGCAAGGAGAAGGGGTGGGGCGGGGAGGAGGGGCAAATCTTCAAATCTTCAATGCGGCGCCAGGACTGGCGCGGCGCTTACTGGCGGGCAGGCGGACTGCAAGTCCAGCGACTGCAGCCCGACGACAGCTGCTGCAGCCCGACGCCACTGTCACGGCACCGATACGACCCTCCACAGCGTGGCGTCGGAGCCGTGGCTGCTCGTCGGAGCAGAGACAGCAGCACACAGAAGCCGCCGCGGCATCTCGAAAAACAAGAAAGTGCCACGGCGGTAGGCAGTCGGAAGGCCGCGACGGCGGCGAACTAAAAACGAATACGCAGCGGAAGCGTAGTGAGCAGGCCCGGGACGGGCGGCCTGCTCTGAAACCATGTCTGAAGTTAGGATCTAGGTAGCAGGAGGAACCATGGAAATGGCGTGAGGTTTTAGGGTAGGAAAGTTGGTGAGATAAAAGAGAACTAGAAAGGAAGAGAGAGGGATACAAGGAAGGGTGTTGCACCCTCTACAGTAATGTTCAATAACATCTACCAAGCCTACACTTATATAATAACTTATATAATTTAACACACCCCCTAGGCTTGGTAGTAAAAGGACCCACACACCCCCACACCCCTTAACCTAGCACCCCCATTCCCATCATCCACGACGACTCCAACAGGACCAACCCCAAGGCCTTGGAGATGGCGACGGCGGCAGTCCGGGCAGCGGCGACAGCGATGGCGACGACGGGCGTGCGGCGGCAACAGGCCTGCGACGACAACAGCGGCGACGGCGACCACTTCGGCTTACGACGGCGGTGACGGCAGCGGCCCCCGCCCTTCCGGCGGCATGTCCAGACTCCGCACCAGGGGAACGACCGGCGAGAGTCAGACGGCGGATGTGGCAAAGAGGGGGGGACAGAGGAAAGGGGAAGGGGCGGGGCTTCGGATCTTCAGCGCGGCGCTTACTGGCGAGCGGGCGGGCTGCAAATCCAGCAGCGACGCAGGTGGTGCGCGACGTCAACAGGCCGACGTCACGGCCGCGGCACCACGACGACGCCACCACAGCGTGGCGTCGGAGCCGCGGCTGCTCGTCGAAGCTGGGACGACAGCACATAAAGGCCGCCGCGTCATCTTGGAAAAGGTGCCACGGCGGCAGCCAGTAGGAAGGCCGTGACGGCGGCGAACGGACAGAATGCCGCGACAGCGGCAAACGGACAGAAGGCCGCGACGGCGGCAACGTAAGGACGAGTACGCGGCGGAAGCGTGGAGAGCAGGCCCGGGAAGGGCGTCCTGCTCTGAAACCATGTCTGAATGCTAGTTAAACTAAGAAGTAGGGAAGCCCGCCATGAAATGGCGGGTGGGGTTTAGGTAGGAGGGAAAATATCGAGAGAGAAGGATGTCGACTAGAAGAGAATGAGGTACAAGAAAGGGGTTATCCCCTTTACATTAGGATGCAGTTAGTAGCATACTGTAACTACCAAGCCTACAATTATATAAAATATAATTTTAACAGCTTTCCTCGGGGAAGGTGGATATATGGAGCCTAAACCTCCTGATGATATCCCTTTTTGTCCCAATGGTTAGGACTGGTGACTTTATGACATGGTATCAAAGCCATCCGGAGTTCAATTCCTGGTGTACATGCTATCCCAACGGGGGGGTTTGTCGTGGCACTGGGATAACCCTGTCGATCATCTCTCTCTCTAAGGAGGGTACTGGGGAGGCTTTCCCCAGGAAAGGTGGATATATGGAGCCTAACCCTCCTGATGATATCCCTTCTTGTCCCAGTGGTTAGGAATGGTGACTTTATGCCACTGGACGTATTATGAGTATCGAATTGTGCGGGCTGCTGCCCAGCTCCGAATATAAAAAATCTCCTCGACACAAAAGGGGCCCTGATCAAGAGGTGTCCCAACTTGATAACCCATATGCTATTTTGCCGTGTGGTTTTAATACCCCCAACTTCATCCCGACCCGAGTCGCCCCGAACCCATTTCGCCCCCGTCGCCCTCGGGACTCTCGCCCTTGACTGTTCCAAACCTCGACATTCAACCCTGGTCAATCGCCCTATAAAAACCCGTGGCCTCATTTCTATCGTCATTCTGTAATCAAGTTCCCCTTGTTGAATATTGCGCTACGCTTTGAGTTATAATTCATAACAAACTTCGACGATGGTTCCGTAACAGGATGCTGCTGCTACTGTCCCCACCATCCAGGGGTTGCATCACGTCCTGTGGTCTGGCGAGGCTGACTACACTGATGGCTTCGTTTGTGGCACGGCATGTGACGCCCCGCTCTCGTATGCAGCTGGGTCCCAGAGGCCGACACGAGCTCACCTCGATTTCCTCGGGCAAATTCAACCGAGGTGTCGCCGGCGTCATCAAAGTCTTCGCGATCGTTCGCAGGCGACTGTTTCGACCGAAATCTGCGACCTTCCAGATTCTCCCCAACCGCAGCTCCCGCGCTTTTCATTCCAGCTCCGCTTGTCGCTCCGCTACCAATAGTTTCGCCCAAACCTCCCATGTTCCGCCTTCCGCGCCCAGCCGCACTTCCGCGCCGTCATGTCAAAACATGCCATGCGATGCCATCCGCTGCTATTCCGCGTTTCCTTGCAGCTCACGCCATGTCATGTCCCACACTACCCCAAGGCTCTCCCTCCCAGTCCCCCAGCCTGTTCCTCCCTCCCATCCGCTTCCGCCGGGTCCCCGCCGAGTCCCTCCCCATTCCCCTGGAGCTCTCGTCTCGACTTCCGGAATCCCATCCCATCCTCGTGACAATCGCCGTCCTTCCTGTTCTCTTGAGTCTTGCTTCTGCTCGTTCTGCTACTGGTGCTCTCAGCTCTACTCGTGTTCTTTGCTTCTTCCACAGTTAACGCTGCGAACAGCCTGACCTGCAGATTCCTTGCTGCTAAAGCTCGGCTGACAAGGAGTAAAGCATCCGTTGCTAAGGAATAAGTTGTTCTTGATCACGATAGTGTGTAAACTCCTAGACCGTCCTGTCTGGTTCTAGTCTTCTAGCCGTAAACATGCAATCCGATTGGCGTTCTCCGCCGCTCGCGGTGTCTTACCCGGAAGTCCCTCCGATGCCGTCACCCGCTCAGTACACTCCGTCCTACACCCCTAATTACTCCTCGTATCCTCAACCTCCCGCGCAATCCACGGACAACAACGCTCCCATGTACATGCAACAACCGCCCCCGCCGCCGCAACCGCAACTGCTCCCCCAATCTGCGCCATACTCCCACCAAAGCTCCGCGTACCCGCAGTTCCCCGCCGCGCCAGCACCTCCCCCGCAGTTCCCGCAGAGCCACGTGGACGACTACGAGTCCAGCGTCGACGTCGTAGCGTACGATGCGGGCGGCGCGGAACCGTACGGCGCGAGAGGAACCGGCAGCGGTGCGTACTGGAGCGACGCGCCGCAGTCCTTCGGCGGCGGAGGAAACATTGGGAATAGCGCGGGGGGGAGCGGGCCGATCAGCAGCCCGCTAGTGGATATCCAGATGCCGTCGCTGTCGGCGGGGTCGCGGGGAGGGGGAGGGGGGGAGGCGCAGGTGGTGGTGGGGAAGGACGGCGTGCAGAGCTTCGCCGTGACGCTACTGCCGGAGCCGGGATCGTCGTCGTCGCCCTCGCAGGTGGTCTGTAAGGTGAGGCTGCGGTAACTGATTGACCACCCACCCACCCACCCACCCACCCACCGTGCACGCGCACGCACACACGCGCGTCCTCGCTCTCCCCGTTAGACTGCTTTTGAGGCGCCTCAGAAGTAGCGTCCTCGCTCTCCGTTAAAGAATTGCACACGATGCGGATCCGTAGGGCGCGGACGCGGATGGCTCTCGCGGCCTGCTCGAGAGGCTCGCCGAACTTTGCTGGCTCCTGCGTCGCCGGCGTTGGCGTTTCTTGGAAGGCGTTGAACGTGCGTTGCATCGTCTTTTCTTGTTGTTCGGAGCTTCTCCGCCCGTTCTCCCTCCCTCCCTCCCTCCCTCCCTCCCTCCCTCCCTCCCTCCCCCCCTCCCCCCTCCCCCCTCCCCCCCTTCCCCCCTCCCTCCCGCACTTTTGAGAGCAGCAAGATCGAGCCCCATCCGTGCCTGTCGTTCCTCCCCGCTTGCGCCCCCCTTCCTTTACTCCCATCTCTTCACCCTCCCGTGTCCTGCCCGTATTTTGGTGACGACTCTCGTCATGGCAACCTTTTCGGGACGAGTCTCCGACCCAACGTAGCCCGCTTCACATCGTCACGTCGTAGCATGGCTATCATACTGTCATACCAATTGTATGAGCACGACACAACATCAGTGACCGTCTCGTCGCCATTTCTCCCCTCCCTCCCCTCCCCTCCCCTCCCCTCCCCTCCCTCCCCTCCCCTCCCCTCCCCTCCTTCCCCTCCCCTCCCCTCCCCTCCCCTCCCCTCCCTATCCCTCTTTCCTCTCTCTCCGTTCTCTCCCCCTTCCCGCCTCTCACTCCCGTCCCTCGCTTCCCCCCCCTCCCCCCTTCCCCCCCCCCCCGCAGATCGGCTTGGACGGCATGCGGCTGCAGGAGCCGGGCAGTGGCCGCCTCATGCGCATCTACCCGCTCGAGAACATCACCAGCTGGGAGGTGAGCCGCCGGGCTGACTGTGCCTGCGGGGCGATGAGCTGGGAGGTGGGAGGTACGCCGTCGTGTGTCGCGGTGAAGCGGCCCCCGTGTGTGCGGCGGGGGAACGGGTCGGAGAGTGCAGAGGGGGAAGGGAGAGAGGGTAGGGGGGAGGGGAGGGGGAGGTGTGGGGATTGGAGGCGGAGATAGAGTCAGGATGGGGAAGGAGGGGTGTGTGCGATTTCCCTACTGGCGATATGGACTGGTGTAGTTCCTAGGGATTTTCGACCAGTCGTTCCTTATCCTGTGTGCAGGTGACGGATCCTGGCGCGTTCACGTTCTGGGTGCGCACCGCCGTGGACGTTAGCCCTCTGATCTCCCACCGCTCGCCCTCTCCATTTACACCCTCACCTCCCCCAGCTCCCGCTTCTTCCCCTCCCGCTTCTCCCCCCACCCCGCTTCTCCCCCCCCCCGCTTCCCTCCCCCGTACTTCTCGGCCCCCCGCTTCTCCCTCCCCCGCTTCTCCCTCTCCCCGCTTCTCCCCCACCGCTTCTCCCCCCGACCCGCTTCTCCCTCCAGGTGAAGGAGCCTGGCGTGTTCACGTTCTGGGTGCGCACGGCCGTGGACGTGAGTCAGCGGCCAGTGCGGCTGCGCTCCAACGACCGCACCACGTCGCTGCTGCTCGACACGCTCACCGCCGCATGCATCCAGGTGGGTGCGCGTGTGCGCATTGCATTGGACACATGTCACAAGGTACGGGTGTAGCGACACATACGGGGTGCGTTGAGAGCCCAACGACCGCAGGGACAGGTGGTGTTGACTGTTGGTTGCTGTGGTGTGGTGTGGTGTGGTGTGGTGTGGTGTGATTCCATACAGTACTACTGTTTGTTTTTGCACTCTTACCCCGTTTCCGCCGTTGTCTCTCATCCCCCCACCAACGGCCCACCCACCCGTGCTTTCCAATATCTCTGCCACCAGGTGTTTCAAATGGCAGGCTGCGACAAGGCATCAGCCGACAAGCCCTCTGCCTCCAAACTCTCTGCCTCCAAACCCTCTTCCGCCCCTTCCACCGCCGCTGCTGCTGCTGCCGCTCCTGCTGGTGCTGGTGCTGCTGTTGCTGCCAGTGCTGTCCCTGGCGCGTCTGTGATGGGGCGGCTCGCTTGCCCGCGCTTGCCAGTTGCCAGTCCCTCTAACCCTCCCTGCTGTTTCCTACCGCCCCCCCTCCCCCCCCATTTCCCCCCGCCCCCACCCCTCTGCCACCAGGTATTTGAAATGGTGGGTCGAGACAAGGCAGCAGCCGACAAGCCGTCTGCCGCCAAACCCTCCTCCGCCCCTTCCTCCACCGCTGCTGCTGCTGCCGCGCCTGCTGCTGGCGCTGCGGCTGGCGCTGCCGGTGCTGGCCCCGGCGCGACCGTGATGGGGTGGCTCACTCGCCCGCGCTTGCCTGCTGCCGACGAGCGCGTGCACTGGGTGCGTGGAGTGGGGGGTGGGGGATGTGGGGTGGGGGGTGGGGCTGGGTTGGGCCTGGCTGGTTGGCTAGTGCACTGAGTGGGTGGGGTGAGACTGCAGGGAAGGGAGGTGGGGAGGAGGGGGTGGTTGTGTGGGGGCAGTGCTGCTGGCTGTGCTATCGCTGTGGGGGTATCTATCGGGCGGGGGGGGGGGGGGGGGGGGGGGGGGTTGGTTAAGGTCATGCACCATGCTGGAAAGCCGATCGCACTTCTGCTTGTTACCCGGTCCTCTTTTCTCCTGTTCCCACCGCGCTCGCTATCATGGTTCACATTTCACCTCAGTGAACGCCGTGTCTCGTCTCCTCCTCCTCCTCCCTCTCTCTTCTCTGCTCTCCTGTCCCCTCCTCGCTCCCCTTTCTCACCCTCTCCTCTTCCTTTCTCCGCACTGATTCCTTCGGTTCTCTGCTTTGCTTTCCCCCTTGTGTCCCCCCAGGTGCCAGATGAAGAGGTGCCCAAGTGTGCTGACTGCTCTGCTGACTTCGGCACATTCAACCGCAGGGTATGTGCGCTGTGCCGTTCTCTGCTGTGCCGTGTCTAGCTGTGCTGTGCTCGTCTTCCGCTGTTTTGCTGGTTCCTTCTAATGGTGGTGGTGGGGGTGGGGGGAACGGATGGAGTCTCAAGCAGTGACATGCGAGCAATGCAGCTGGGCTTGCTGCCTGGGTTTTCCATCCATCGGCTCCCATAGTTTTTGGTCCCCGCGTCTGCTCTCAACTCTAGCTGAGCAAGTTAGATGGTGCAGCATAGATTTGGCTACGTTCTAGCATTTGCTACCACCACTACCCCCTCTTAACTTCCTCGTCCCTTCTGTCCACCCCCCTTCTCCCCCCCCCCCTGCCCCGTTTTCTCCACCAGCACCACTGTCGCAACTGCGGCAACATCTTCTGTGACAAGTGCACCAGGGGCCGCACGCCCCTCTCCTCCGAACCTGATGCTGCCCCTGTCCGCGTCTGCGATTCCTGCCTGGTAAGCAACCGTTTCTGCCGGTTACTGCCACGGTCACGGGCATATTATGGGCATGGGCGCCGGGGGCACGGGCACGGACTTCCCATCCCTCCCTGGTTGCCTTGTCTTTAACCTCTCATCTCAGCGGCACCCCCCTCCCTCCGTCCCTGATTCATACCCTACCCTACCCTGTGTCCTTCCCCTTCCCCTTGTCGTCCCCCCAGGCGGAGGTGACCCAACGGCTGACCAACGAGAGGGAGCTAGAAGCCGAGGGCTCCTTCAAATACCCCTCCTCCACCCCTTCAGCAGCAGCAACAGGAGGAGGGGGTGGCGGTGGCAGCAGCAGCAGCGGTGCGGGAGGGGCGGGCAAGTCAGGGGCGCGGAGCCACGAGCAGCTGCTGCGTCAACTGCAGCAGGAGATGGAGCGAAACGCCCCCCTGCCCGTCCGCAACCACTCCTCCTCCCGCCGCCACTCGTCCTCCTCCTCGTCGTCCCATCGCTCCTTCTCTGCTCGCTATGGTGACTCCGGAAGTGCTCCCAGCGGCGGCAGTGCGTTCGCCTCTGGGGCAGCGGTTGTCAACACGTGCAGCCGCTGCAGTGCGGTCTCGCTCCTTGCGCACCCCGGCGCCCCCTGTCCCACCTGTGGTGCTGCCTCCGCCCCCTCCCCCTCTCCGCCCGCCTCCAGGGGGTATGGGCCGAGTGCAGGGGAGATTCCCAGTGGGCCTCCGCATCTGTGGCCGGGGGATGGGGGGATGATGGGGGGAGGCGGGGGAGGGGGGATGGGCGGAGGGACGGGTGGGGGAGTGTCGGGAGTGGGGCCACGGATGCAGCAGGTGGAGTGTCCTACATGCACAGTGCATCTTGAGGTGAGGGAATTGCCTGTTTTGTGGTTGCTTGTGCTTGCTTGGTGAGAGGTGAAAGTGTTTGAGTTGTTTATGCATGAGGCGCATCAATGATGTGCAGCAGGTGGCGTGTCCTACCTGCGCTCTACATCTTGAGGCAAAGGGGTTGCTGTGTTTGTGCTTGCGTGGTGAGAGTTGAGCGTGCCTCATTGCTTGTTCTTGAGCTGTCTGCTGAGCGTAGATGCAGCATGTGGCATGTCGTACATGCACTGTTCATGTTGAGGTGAGGGGGTTGCTTGTTTTGTGGTTGCTTGGTGAGGGGTGAGCGTGATTGCTTGCCAGTATAGCTTTTTTCTTTGCCATGTCTCCTCCACACCTGCCATCTCCTTGCTGCAGGTGCATATGCCGGTGTCAGGCACGGGGACAGTTGGTGTGGTGTGCATGGCAGCACCCCTTCCTCGCGGCCTCTTGCATTGCACTCTCCTGTACATGTATTCATCTCATGCAACTCTCTCTCCCCTCTTCACCACCCCTGCCACATCTCCTCTCTGCAGGTGCAGCTGCCGGCATCGGGAACAGAGACAGTGGAGTGTGGCGTGTGCCAGCACCCGTTCCTCGTGGCCGCTCCGCAGTGACGCGTGCCATTTGGGATGGGATGGGATGACAGCCATGGCAGTGCGCGTTCTGCTGATGCAGCGATGGGGATGGAACGCTCCACAGGGATGTGTGGCATGCCTTGTGATGGGAATGGGAATTGCCGCTCCACAGGAATGGTGAGCCGAGGTGTAGACGGGCAGGGATGGGTGGGTCTCATTGGTTCGCTCGCAGGGTGCAGGGTTGGAATGGATTGGATGGCAGATTGGAAACAGCATGTGCAGAGGGTGTGGATGGGATGGGTGGTGAGGAGGGCATGTGGTTATGCAAGGAGGGGGTGGGCTAGGGAGATCAGTTTCTGGACTGCCTTGTCCATAAAATACTCATGGATAGTAGTCTGGTAGTACCTTCTGACGTGTGAGGAATCATGTCAAAGCAGCAGTCTATGTCCATGTACAGTGCCCGGAATTTTGTAACTCCGAAAACAAAAAAACAGATAGCCCAAATGGTATTGGTTGTGAGAAAGTATGAGCCAATGTGGGCTTGACGCGAAATACATTTGACAGCCTGGCGCTTCGTGTCAAACATCTGTATTTGTCATGTTTGTATAGACTGTATAGGGTTACCGCTTAGAGGGTACAACACTTAGGTATATTTGTGTGTACTCTCACTTTACTATTATTCAATTCCAATTCTGATATGGTATCACGCGTAGGTAGGATCCCCCCCCCCACCTACCGCTTCCGCTCATGCCCCCTTCCCGTCCTGGGCCCCGTCGCGCTCCTCCCAGGCCCCGTCGCGCTCCTCCCAGGCCCCCTAGCGCCCCTCCTGGGCCCCGTCGCGCTCCTCCCAGGCCCCGTAGCGCCCCGTCGCGCCCCTCCTGGGCCCCGTAGCGCCCCTCCTGGGCCTCGTCGCGCCCCTCCTGGGCTTCGTAGCGCCCCTCCTGGGCCCTGTAACGCCCCTCCCAGGCCCCGTCGCGCCCCTCCCAGGCCCCGTCGCGCTCCTCCCAGGCCCCCCTAGCGCCCCTCCTGGGCCCCGTCGCGCTCCTCCCAGGCCCCGTAGCGCCCCTCCTGGGCTCTGTCGCGCCCCTCCTGGGCCCCGTCGCGCCCCTCCCAGGCCCCGTCGCGCCCCTCCGTGGCTCCGTAGCTCCCCTACTGGGCCCCGTCGCGCCCTCCCTGGGCCCCGTCGCACCCTGCCCGACCCCGTCGCAGCCGCCCGGCCCCGTCGCGCCCGCCTGGCGCCGTCGCAGCCGCCCGGCCCCGTCGCGCCCGCCCGGCCCCGTCGCAGCCCGCCCGGCCCCGTCGCGCCCGCCCGGCCCCGTCGCCCTTGCCTGGCCCCGTCGCAGCCGCCCGGCCCCGTCGCCCCAGCCCGGCCCCGTCGCGCCCGCTCGGCCCCGTCGCCCCGTCCCGGCCCTGTCGCACCAGCCCGGTCCCGTCGCGCCCGCCTGGCGCCGTCGCAGCCGCCCAGCCCCGTCGCGCCCGCCCGGCGCCGTCGCACCCGCCCGGCCCCGTCGCGCCCGCCCGGCCCCGTCGCAGCCCGCCCGGCCCCGTCGCGCCCGCCCGGCCCCGTCGCCCTTGCCTGGCCCCGTCGCAGCCGCCCGGCCCCGTCGCCCCAGCGCGGCCCCGTCGCGCCCGCTCGGCCCCGTCGCCCCGTCCCGGCCCTGTCGCACCAGCCCGGTCCCGTCGCGCCCGCCCGGCGCCGTCGCACCCACCCGGCCCCGTCGCGCCCGCCCGGCCCCGTCGCAGCCCGCCCGGCCCCGTCGCGCCCGCCCGGCCCCGCCGCCCTTGCCTGGCCCCGTCGCAGCCGCCCGGCCCCGTCGCCCCAGCCCGGCCCCGTCGCGCCCGCTCGGCCCCGTCGCCCCGTCCCAGCCCTGTCGCACCAGCCCGGTCCCGTCGCGCCCGCCCGGCCCCGTCGCGCCCGCCCGGCCCCGTCGGGCCCGCCCCGGCCCCGTCCTCCGCACTGGTACGGTTCCCCCCCCCCCCACCTCGCCCAGCTCCGTGCCGCCCCGCACCACACTGTACTGCCTGGCACCGCACTACACCGCACTGCACCGCACTGTACCGCATTGCACCGCACTGCACCGCACTGCACTGCCCTGCACCGCACTGGACTGTTCCTGATGGCGGCGGAGCTTCGCTTCGACGCTGAAGGTCAGCCCCTAGAGTTCGAGGCGTGGCTTGCCGACCTCCGCCGCCAACTCACTGGCCAGCGGCAGGATGGTGAACCGCTTTCCGCACACCTTGACGGTACGCTCCCCTGCCCAGACCCCCCTGCTATCCTGCCCGCTGACCCCACACCCACTGAGCGTGAGTCTACTGCTGCCACTGCCCGTGCGCGCTCTGTCTGGCTTTCTCGCGATGCTGTTGCCCAGCTTGCCATTAGCAACGCCCTTCCCCCATCCGAGCGTCCTCGCTTTAGGTCTCTCACTACTGCTCAGGCATACTTAGATGCTGTGATCAAGCGCTATTCCACTCCTTCCGATGCTCTTTCCTGACCTTGCATCTTTCCCCACTGTCTCTGACCTCGCTGCCCACCTGCGCTCGATAGATGAGACCTGGCGCGCTGCCTGCACTGACGCCCAGCTTAGAGCCCACCAGCCGCCCATTACCTCTACCCTCTACCTGCTTGCCACCCGCCTCCCTGACCGCCTTGCTGTCGCCCGCGACCGCTTTCTTAGCGTTCACCCCGCAGACCTCACCCTCACTGACTTTGTAGACACCCTGACTGTGATAGAGACCCGTCACCGCTCCATCGCCCAGGCGAGCGGTGTCGTGCCGGTCCCTATCTTTCAGGGTTGTGCCCCCGCTCAGTGCACCTTCTCCGACGGCTCTGCCGCAGTGGCTGAGACTACTGCTGCAACGCAGGTCCGTTCGGGGAAGGGCCGCCGCCCCAAGGCTGGGCGCGGAGGAGGAGGCGGCGGGGGTGCGGGCGGGGGTAGTGGTGGGGTCGGGTCGCCTGGTGCTGGAGTGGACGAGGGGACCCTGCCCAATTCAGCTGAGTCGCCGCCCCTGCAGGTGCAGCAGCCGCAGCAGCCGCCGCAGTCGCAGCCTTCGCAGCAGCCGTCGCAGACGCGGCAGACGAGTGTCCTCCCGCCAGGGTGGCCCGGCGCTGGCGGTGGCCGGGCGCGTGGTGGTGTGCCGCGTGGTGGCTCTGGCGGCGGGCGTTGTCAGTACCAGATCCCGACCGGTCCTCGCCGCGGCTTCGTTTGCGGTAAGATCGGTCACTCCACTCCCCGCTGTTTTCGTCGCCTGGACGACCTCTTTCGTCAGCGCTTCGGCCCGTCGCCAGACCTCCCGGACTGGCACAGTTTGCTTAGTCGTCAGATTCAGATTTTTGATATGGACATGGATGCCATTGTTTCCGCTCAGCATGTGATGTATGCTGATGACTCTAGTGTGCTTCCCGCTTATTACTCACTGTTGCCTAGTGTAGGTGTGCCTAGCTTAGCCTCCCCTGCTGCGTCAGGCGTAGGATCCCCTGCTTTGTGTAGTCTTGGTGCTTCCGCAGTCGTTCCGTCGCCAAACCCCTCGGCTTCGCTGTCCTTCACCTTGGACTCTGGCGCCTCTCGGTGTTTCTTCCGCGACTCCACCACCCTGACGCCGCTTCCTGTTCCTGCTGCCGTTTCTCTTGCTGACCCCTCCGGCGGTCCGGTAGTCGCCCGCAGTTCCACCACCCTTCCCTGTCCGGCGGTTCCTTCGGGTTCTCTTACAGGTCTGCATATCCCCTCGTTCTCCAGGAACCTAGTTGGTGTCGGCTGCCTCCAGGACCTTGGCGTCACCACTACGTTCCCTGGCCACGAGCGGTATGCTGTCTGTACCGAGGCCGCCACTGGTGCCCCCCTATCCACGTTCCCCCGGGACCCGGTGTCCGGCCTGTTCACTCTGGACACCGCGACCCCCCCGGCTGGAGCGCCCCCTCAGGTGGCTGCGTCTACCCAGGTTGATGCTGCCTGCTCCTGTCGCTCCCTCACTCACCCGACCCTCCTGTGGCACCACCGCCTAGGTCACCCTGCGCTCCCGCGTCTGCGTCACATGTCTCAGCACGGTCTCGTCCTTGGTCTCCCAGGTTCGCTCCCCGCGTTTCCCTCCTCTCCAGCCCCACCTTGCACGCCTTGTGTCGAGGGTCGGCTTCGCCGTGCCCCTCACTCCTCCTCGTTTCCCCCTACCGCCGCGCCGCTGCAGACCCTGCACCTGGACGTCTGGGGCCCCGCCCCCGTCCCTGGGCCGCGTCGAGAGCGCTACTTCCTTGTGCTTGTCGACGACTTCACTCGTTACACCACAGTCTTTCCACTGGAGCGCAAGGCCAACGTGCCTGGCGCTCTCATCCCCTGGCTTGTCTCTGCGCGTGTCCACCGCGGTCTCCCTGTCTTGCGTCTTCACTCAGATCGTGGTGGCGAGTTTGCCTCCGGTGTCCTTGGCGAGTTTGTCGTGCGGAGGGCATCACCCAGACGTTCACCCTACCGGACTCCCCACAGCAGAATGGGGTCGCTGAGCGACGCATCGGTTTGGTCATGGAGGTCGCTCGCACCTCCATGATCCATGCCGGTGCACCCCATTTTCTGTGGCCGTTCGCTGTGCGCTACGCTTCTCACCAGCTTAACCTGTGGCCGCACCCTCAGCAGCCGCAGGTTTCGCCGACCCGTCTTTGGACTGGGTCCCCTGGTGACGCGTCTGCGTTTCACGTCTGGGGCTGCCTTGCTCACGTCCGTGCCTCCGGCACGGACAAGCTCACTGCCCGCACCCTTCCCTGCGTCTTCCTCGGTTTTCCCCTTGACGCGTCCGACTGGCACTTTTACCACCCGCCGTCTCACCGCTTCTTTCACTCTCGTGACGTCACCTTTGACGAGTCCGTCTCCTACTACCGCCGCTTTCCCCACCGTGGTCCCCCGGTTACCCCCCCCCTGTTCCTGGTCACCCCTTCCCCGGTCGTCCCTGCCCCTCCTCCTCCTCCTCCTCGTCCCGCCCCCTCTAGTGTGTCCCACGTCACCCCCCTTCCGTCCGTGGACCAGGTTGAGGAGTCTTCTGACTCTGGTGGCCCTCCTGTGCAGTCCTCGCCGGCCGCCCCTCCCCAGGTGTCCCCTCCCCAGTCCCCTCCTCCACCGCCACTACCGCTGCTGCAGCCGTCGTCGTCGCCGCCGCCGTCGCATCCGCCGCCGCCGTCGCAGCCCCCGTTCGCTGACTCTGGGGGTGCTCGTCCCGGTCGCCCTGGGGGTGGTCCCTCTGGGGGTGCTGGTGTGGAGTGTGCCGGTGGTAGCCGAGGAGCAGCTTGCGGTCCAGGTGTCGCCGTTGTGCCGCCGCAGCAGCGGTCCCCGCCGGTGTCCGCCCTTCGCCTGCTCGGCCTTCCGTTCCCCGACCCTGCGTCGGTTCCTCCTCTTCCTGTCTACGGCCCTGTTTTTCCTCCGTCGGACTCTTCCCCGGCTCGTCTCCCCCCTCGTTCCCCTCCTGTGTCCCCTCCCCTGTCTCCTGACCCGACTCCTCCGTCGCACGTCTGGTCTCACCGCCCCTCCCGTGCTCGTCCTGCCTCGCCTGTCTTGTGCTCCCACCCTATGTTGCTTCGTTCCCACGCGTCTCGTCCTCCCCTTCTCCCGTCGCCTCCTCCGTCCTCCCTTGTTGTTGCGCCCCCCCCGC